TTAACAGGGCTGCTTAGGGTAGTCACCTAAAATGAAGTTCAAGTCAACAATTTGCCCGAAGAAGAATCAGAAATATCATCTAGATGAGTGTTCTTATTACCAGGTCATTTTAGGGCCTCTTCCTTCCTCCTTCACTTTAGACCTTTTTTTTTTTTTCATCACATTTTTATCCTGAGTCAAGAAAGCTTTCCTACTGAAACTGGGAAGTATAGTTCCATCATCAGTTTTCACTGGGACAGGAAAATCCCCAGCCAGCTCCCCATAGCAAACAGCTTACTTATTTTTCCTAACAGCATAATCTGTGGTGTGTTTGAATTAAAATACCCATTTCCAAAGACTCTTACCCTTTATTTTGTCCCTGGTATCAGATGTACTCAGTAAGAAAGACAACAGTGACTCAGTTGTAGTTTCTTATCCAGGCTTACCTTGCCTGGGTGAGAATGGAACAAGCATACTGTTGGTCCCTTTCTATCCCTTGTATACTATAAACAGGACGCAAGACACAGCTGGTGCACGTGACAGCAACTGTAGCATCAGCAGCAGATATTCCTCAAAAATGGAAGAAGTTCCCCTGAAGAGTCTATGGTCATTTTAAGGTCAATCCATGCTGAGGCAGACAGGCAAGCTCTAAGTCTTTCGAAGGCGATTCCATTGACTATAGGCGACATGAAAAATTTTCAATCCAATGTTTACTTTGGTGATCAGAGGATCAGATAATGTGAAAATAAAGTACCATCTTCAGTTAAGGATTCACACTGATATTTGTCTGGATATTGCAGCTGAGGAGAATCTGATTGTGTATATTCAACTGCTTAGTGCTGTTTCTGGCTTGTCTGAAACACATTTCTGTTCCTTGTCACAACTCCCAGGTGCTACTGCTGAGCAAATAGTAACATCATTGCCAGAAGTATTTGAAAAGACCAAAAAAATTGATTTGGACAATCTGTGTGCTCTTGCCATTGATGGAGACACAACTGTGAGTAGGGTTAGGGCTGAGGTCAAAACAAGGTTAAAAGAAAAGTGCCCAGGAACTCTTTCCTGTCACATTTCACACTGAATTGCTCCTGTTTTTCAGCAGATGCTACAGACAATGCACTGTGCTCCATTAAATACCTGGAATCATTTAGCTACGTTTACAAGCTACATTGAAAATTCACTCCAGAATTACTGTACTTGAAAGGCTACAGAGAAAGGGCTACGATATTGCATCACACAGGCACTAGATGCTATATTTACATGTGCAACACAAAAAGCAAGGAACAAAGGCAAGAATGAACAGGGCCCTGGCTGTTTACAAGTGAGGGTGATGTTGCTGTCCTTATTTAAGAGTATAATGCACCTCATCTGAAGTCAGTGAAGACTGTAGCTATCAGGTGAGAATCCTGGTAGCATGGTAAAGGTGATTGTTCAGATAAACATATTCTCTATAATACTGCGGGGGTTTTTTGTTTGTTTTTTTGTTTTTTCACTGCGGGGTTTTTTTGTTTGTTTTTTGTTTTTTTTTTGTTTTAATCTCCTGCATGGCCCTGTAGAAGCAAGAAGCTTGAAGTTAATCACAAGACAGACTGGCAGGTTATTCTGCCTAGACCTTATCTGCACCTGTGCCTGTTCTCTCCTACTTACTTGGGAGCATGTAACCACCTTGAACACCCAACAGAGCAGCATGCAAGTATTTACACGATCAAAGGCAAAATGTGCTTAAGACAGACTTTCGAAATCCAGCACAATTTGGCAAACTTCAGAGATAGTTGCCTTTCAAATGGGTTGTGGAGGAGGCCTTGGTAAATTTGAATGGTATGATTAGCATACCGGCTGTTTTTAAAACTGCTCAAGAAGAAGCTGTGTTAAAATCCATTTCCGCAAGACACACGCATTTTCTTTTGGACAGGCTCCACTAGCTCTGTTTCTTAAATCAGTTTTTCTGGCACAGATTTCTTCTTGGAAGAATGTACGACACCAGCTCAGTTTCCTAACCAAAACTTGACAGAACGCGTGCAGCACAGCATAATGGCATCTCTACTTCATGGCCTCCTAAAAGTTACATTACAGAAACCTAGGAAGTGAATTTGACTATTCCAGGTCACATCTGCTGAAAGGCGGGCGAGACAGCAGAAGATGCCAGGGTAGTCTTCCCAGCACAATGTTCTAACACTGGTGAGGGCCACTGATGAAAGGTTTGCCAAAACAGGAGTTGCCAAGGTCTTAGAGGAGTTTCAGGGATGTGTTCAAGTCTTACTAGATTTAAAGGATGATCCTTGGCAAACTCCTCCTGATGCTTCTCAGCATTTCTGGAGCCAACAGTTGTTCCATCTGCTGCTGAGGCCGACTTTGAAGAATCCTTGCAAAGAGCAGCACACTAACTTTTACACAATACAAGAGGGAAAAAAACAGAGCTTTCCAGAAGTGACCTAGATGTTTGCCAGTAGCTTGACACACTCTCAGGTAAGGCTGTCTCCTTGTCTCCAAACACTTGAGCATATTACCAAAGCTGCGCCAGTGTAAACTGTGGGCTGAAAATAGAGATTCAGCAAACAGCATCTATTGAAAGTTTGTCTCAGGCATTAACTGTTCATCTGTGGAGGTTTGACGTACAGTAACAGTGAGAAAGACCACCATGAACTAGATTCAAGAACCAAGTTGCTGCTGGGGATTCAAACCAAAATACTAAAAAATGGCTGTGAAACTCAAACAGATACTCCCTGATAACAGCTAAAAAAATAAAATTTAAAAAAAAAACCAAAATCAGCAAACACAATAAACTTTTAGAGCTGTTGAACACAAACAAGCTTTGAAAACGCAAAGGAAGGTCCACACAGACACAAATGAAGGTGTTTAGCTTCAACACATAAGCTTGAGTTTCTGCCACTGTGACAGATTTGCCAGTGTGTTTTCTGAGCCAGGCCACTGCACTATTGTATAAGCTTTATTCTAATTACTGTGGGCTCTATAAAGGTTTCTTCATCATTTAGTATTATAAATAATTGTGCTTCCAGGCTGGAGTTCAAAGCTCAGTATAGCATTCGCACAACACCACAGGCAGGTCAGGTGACCTTTCTCCAATTCTCCTCTCTCTGGTGCCGAGGACAGACAAAGTGATATGTCTGTCATACGCCATTACCATTAGAACAGAATCTTGTTCTTTTATTACAACTGAACTCCGCCGGATTTCTCAGCA